ATAATTATTATTTATTGACTATTTATTTACCATTTATTATTTGTATATTTTTTATCTAAACTGATATACTAATAAATTTTCTATCTATAATATTTGCCCTTTAAATATCGTTTGTTTTCTATCTTATTCTGGTATTCATTATATTTATATTTTAAGGCCTAATTACAATGTATCTTCCATATATTACTAATTTTTGCTTTTATTTATATATTAAATCACTTATTTTTAGGAATAACTACTAATACTTGTTGTGTACTATCACCATATGAAAATTTATAGTATGAAAGAATAAATTGGCCTAATATTCTTTGCACAGAGATTATACAGTCTCTTGATTCTTCATAAAATGTTTCTTTTCAGATTTCTATATCATATTACCTATTATCTTTTGGTGATAAATAAAATCTGCGAGTATAATATAGTTTATACTATCAAACATAGACAAGATAATATATATTATCATTAAATTTGTGTTATAAAAAGAATTGTATTTGCCCTGAATATATATCTTCTGTATCATTATTTAAGGCAATAAATTTTGCTCTGATATATAAGCATTTTTATATCTTGAAGCAATCTTCGAACTATAAGTTTCTGACCCTATCTTTAATCTTCCATATTCAGTAGCTGTTTATGTTATTGATAGCAATATAATATTATAAAGTGTATTATAATAATCTTTTAAATTTTGATAAACTTTTTCAGGAAGATCTACATTTTTTATTTTTGGTTTAAGCATCTTTCTGAGATATCTCTCTGTTCCTGTGATATTTGCTACTATATCAATTTTATTTGCCATTTCAGGATATGCTATTAATTCCTCACTTTCAAAGTTTTCTGTCATCTTTAAACTTCTATGTACTTTTCTTTTTTCTAAAAATAGAAGAACTTCCCTTAACAATTCGATTTTATCAATATCAGAATTTATGATATATTCTACCTACATATTTTTCATTAGGATGCACATAAGCTTAGGTTCAATTGACTGATTGCTTGTTGGATATGTATCTAGTAAGCCATTCATCCTTTCAAAAAAAAAGTACCAGTAGGTATAAGGTAGTCCATAATCAAGACAATATTGCCTAAAGTGAAGAGACAAGTGAATATTTGATGATATTAATTCTGGACCATAATTTTCCTCTATTAACTTAGCCATTCTTATTAATCATTAATATGCTTCATCTAAGTCAGCTTGCTTCACTATTTGGCTTATTAATAAATTACATGCACAGACAAAATTGAAGATTATTTCTTTATCACCCAAATCTAATTTATCCCACATGCATAGAATAGCATAAACTTGATAGAAAATCCTTCATTGATCTGCAGTAAATTATCCAAACCTATATATGAAAAGTTTTGATGGAATATGACCTATATCCAATGAAACATTAATATTTGACATATGTTTTTCAATTGTTATAAGATCATTTTTGCTAAGTTTATTATTATTAAGTAAACATTGTTTCAATATTCACTTTCTAATTCCAAGGAATAGACAATATATCGGATTGACTATCTTAAATTTAACTGGATCAAAATATTTTAGCTGATATAGTTCTGACTATCTTAATCCTGTACTTTTAACATAGTCATCACGTTTCTGTTTATTTATACATTTTAACTACTGTTTTGCTGCTCCAAAATATTCAGAGATATCAACTTCTTTAAACTATTCATCTATATCATCAAAACTGCTATATTGATTTCTCTTAAATATATTGTCATATTTTGTACATTTTGAACACTAATGATATTTTACAGCATGACTTGTATGACCACTAATTTTTCTTGCAACAGGAATATCATTTGCTAATAATATTAATGCAACATAAATCTTTCATTCTTCTTTATATTTGTATGTTGCAGAAATATTTATACTCTTAGAAAATTCGACCAACTCATCAACAATTAGTGCAAGATAGTTATTAATTTGATGTTTACTTAGTTCATTTGGTCCAGGAATAATATCTAATGTTAAAATGTTATTTGGCTTAAATCTCTCTTTACGTAGCAAATTACACAAAACCCCATATATCACTCCAGTACTGTGTAATGTATAGTCAAATAGTTGAAACAAATCTATATTAATAATAAGGCTGATATATATATCAAGCATATTATCAGTAAAAAATAGTATAGAATTATCAGAGTCTATAGTAAAATTACGCCAGATATTGCCCTCATATATATCTAAGTATATTCCATCTAGTACATATCTATTTTTAGAATGCTGTAACATTTTCTCAAAGCCTACTCGCTGATACATTATATAAAGCTGTTGTTTTATACTGCCAACTGGATAAAGTTTAGATGGTCGCATTAAAATACTATCTCTTGTTTTTATTAACACTGCTAATAGTTCATTACAAGCTAATCACTATGCTTTTACTCTATGTTTGGGATATTCAACATGCATATACTTTTTGTATTCTTGTTTGTTAATACAAATATCTTTTATCTCTGATAGGTCATAGAGTTTATGACATTTTAGGCATGTGACATATTTTTTATATTTGGTAGAAATCTCTAAAGATGATTTAATTGTATTTATAGATATCAGTAGTCTATTAGCTCCATTTACTTTGTAATGAATTAATATATTTTGAAGAAATTTAATTAATGTATCCTATCTAGTATCGAGTATATTATATCTTTGTTGATATTTCATTATCCACAAAATGATCTAATTCAGTTGTTTATTATCAAAATTGACTAGTGGATCAAAATTTTCTAGATCAATCATTAGTAGAATAAAATTAATCATATCCTGATCTTGTGAATCTGTAGATAATTTTCTTGAACTACTTGAAGATTTGCTTAGTGTAGGAGAGCTATTAGATTGTTCTTCTTTTAATATCATAATATCATCTTCATCTGATAGTTGATATATGTCAAATGAATAAGTTCTCTCTAAAGTTTCATCAATGTTCATATCATTATCATTATTAATAAGTGAAGATTCTTTAAATTTTCCTTTAGCCAATTGTCTTGTGATTTGTTTTTAAATATCAAAATTATTATCTAAGATATTTATTGAGTCAGTACTAATATTATTACTCTCTTCATCATCTTTATTACTTGTTGTGCTACTAGTTTCATCTTCTGAACTATTATTTCCTGAACCATTGTTTTCTGAACTATCATTTTCTGAACTATCATTTTCTAAACCATCATTTTCTGAACTATCATTTTTTAAATCATCGCTTTTTGAACCTTCACTTTCTGAACCTTTGCCTTCTGAACTTTCGTTTTCAGAATCTTCATCATATTAAGAAAATTCAGGAAGTGGCTCTTCTATTTCATATTTATGTTTTATTTTTCTTAATGATGGCAATTGTATTTTGCTTATACCAGATGAACCAATATCGAGTAAACCTATATGATCAATATAATTTTGCCATTCAGTATACTTT